CCCTTCAGAAAAAAGCACACAAGGACAACAAAAATTTATTCTTCTTGAAATTTTGTCCTTAACTACACCCATAATTCAGAATTACTCGACTAGACGGTAGCAATAATGCTAATACTAAAACCGCATCACAATAAACTCTAATTTAATGCACGGAGCGACTCCGTTGGTACTAATCAATAGAAATCTGTTTGAGGTAAGAAAATGACAACTGAAGGAATCAATCAAAATCAAGAATTTGAACGTAATAGAAGGAAACCATTTCAGAAGCCTACTTGTCACAACTTCTTTACACTTTGGTGGAACGAATTATAAATCGATTCATAAATGACTCTCACATGCGCAATCAAATATACCCTGCAAGAGTTATCAAGTAACAAACAATTAAATATAAACAACTTGATTGCGTTTGTGATTCCGGCAATAAAAAATATGAAGTTCTACTAAAAACCACACGAGTGACTACAAGGAATGAGAATAGAGAAGCAAGAGATTTTCATTGTAATAGAACTTAGTTACCAGTAAAGTGGCTCAAGCCACACGCTCATGCTACCACCCATATGGCAGTAAAGAATCCAAATTTGTGGGCTGTCATTGTGTTAACTGCGGAGCAGATGCAAGCATGAGTTGTTGTACTAAAAGGTTTTGTAGAATTTGAGGATCCATTGGAGCCATGGAAGCCGCAACTGACAGCGGTGGCATGGTGGGCAATTTTGCTCCATTTGTTACTGGGCTCATCTCAGCTAATTTCATTTGTTGCTGGAATGGTTCAAATAGAGGAAGTTCAAAAATCAAAAGACGAACAACAACCTGAACAAGATCCGAGTACTGGCGAGCCTTCAAAGACTGTTTCGGATTGGTGGTCATTGCAACGCCTAGGGCGAGTTGGTCAGACCGTAGGTTTGCTACTGCTGCTCGCATGAGTGGATCGCTGGCGCTTCCAAGTGGATCGCACGACTGACGGAACAGGGCGAAGAGAAACTCGTAAGCGTTACGAAGCCGCTGATATTCCGCTCCAGTGCCCTTAACGCAAGAATTTTGAGGTTGAACACAAAAACGCAAGTTATCAGTTCAACTTTAAGAACATTCATGCAATTTTATAAACGGTGGCTTCTTTACCTAAACTCTGACACTGACAACCAAATTCTTATATATGAAGTTGAATGTCTGTTTGTATGTCTGTCTGTCTGTCTGTA